ACGCGGGACGCGGAACAAACGTACTTGTACACCTTCGCGGCCTTATTCAGGTTCTTGCTGCGCGGCGCGATGTTGATGAGGCGCGTGCGGAAGTTCTCTCCCTCCGGGCACGTGAGGATGTCGCCCGGGTACATCATCACGAGCTCGCTGCAGTGTGCTTCTCCTCCCGTTTCCTCGGGCCTGCCATCCCCACGGGGCTCGGGTTAGAGTTTTGGCTGCGGCGGACCTAGCAGATGGGGGCGCTCCGCGCGCAGGCAACTTACGACGACCGGATCGGGACGGCCACGGCGTCGCACGCCGCAATTCCCTCCAGCGGCCCGCCCGTATCACCTCGGCCACGAGCTTCTCCAACTCGAGCCGGATGAAGCTCCTCAAGTGCGGATCGCCGTAGTAGACGCGGGTAGGTTCCGGGGGATGCCCGGGGGCAGGGCCGGGCGGAGGGCAGGGGGCAGGCGGAGGGCCGGGACGGACGGTGGATGGACGGTGGGAGGACGGGGGTATGGCGTTCTGGCGACCCAAACCCTCCCCCTCGCCGCATGCACCCACCCGGTGAGTGCCCTCCGAAGCCGCACCCCCCTCCGCCGGAGGCGCCTCGCATCCGGCCCCCCCTGTCCCGCTGCCCTCCGCGCCGGCCCCCCCTGCCTCGCCGCCATCTGCAGCGCGCCACCATGCCTCGCCGCCCTCCGCACCGCCCCCCTGTGCCTCGCCCCTCCCTCCACTCGACTGGCCACGTTCCCACGTCGGCTGCGCCCACTCCATGGCCGCGGGGCTGCTGCACCATCGCCCTCCCGCGCCCGCCGCCGCCGCGCCTTCCGCTCGCGGGTGTGCCTCCGCACCGCCACCGGCCGAGTCGTGCACGCCGGTGCGGCCGCGCATTCCGCCCGCCTCTGCTCCGACCGCCTCCGCCGCCGCACGATCGTTCGCCATGTCGGCCCCTGCTAACGCCTCCCTGCAGCGCCGTCCCCCTGCATTCCCCTCCCCCCCGTCTCCCTCCGTGCATCCGCCGCCCCCCCGTGCCGGGTCTAGCCCCTCCGCACATGGCACACCGCCCGACCCAGCGCCCTCTCCACCCTCCCCCTCCTCGTGCACTCGCTCCACCCCCGCATACGTGCCCCCCCGACCACCCATTTCCGCCAGCGCCTCGCTTTCCACCTGTTGCGCCGGTTCCTCCAGGACGGTAGCCTCCAGCACTCCACTGCTGCCGTCCGTGCTGCTCGCGTCGGCTCCCACCGCCTCCGCTGTCGCACGATCACGTGTATCCCCGCCGCACGTCCCGTCCCTCGTCGCAACACCAGTTGCTGCCTGCTGCATGGCTGCTGCGCGCTCGAGTTCTCGATTCATGGCCCGCGTGAAACGCACTTTCGTCCACCTCTTGAGTTCCTCGGCCGTATCGATGTCTCTCCCCCCGCCCCTCCCCCTGCCTGCCTGCCTGCTGCAAGGCTGATGCAAGGCTGCTGCTCTTGAACCAGCAGCTCGATCCGTGGCCCGCGTCGAAAGCGCTTCCGCCGACCTATCTGAATTTTCGGCCCCATCTATGTTGTTCACGCCTTCTTCGCCGCCCGTAGTAGTGTCGCTTGGCGCGCTTTCCGTGTCATCACCCGCACGAGCCGACACTCCTTCGGGCTCGCTGGACTCGGCCGCACGCGTTGCGTTTGCTTTCTTCCGAGGGCCGGCGGCAACGGTCACGCTCCCACGCTTTCTCCCGCCGCTCCTAACACCGCCCCTGCCCCCCCTTACACCACTCCCTCTCCCTCCCCTTCTCGCTCCCCCTCGGCCTCCTCCATCCCCTCGTCCCGCCCTGCCTCCACCGTGTCCCCCATCCATGTTGTTCACGCCTTCTTCGCCGCCCGTAGTAGTGTCGCTTGGCGCGCTTTCCGTGTCATCACCTGCACGAGCCGACACTCCTTCGGGCTCGCTGGACTCGGCCGCACGCGTTGCGTTTGCTCTCCGCCGAGGGCCGGCGGCAACGGTCACGCTCCCACGCTTTCTCCCGCCGCTCGCTGTATGCGTCTCGCTCCGCAATCCAGTCGTGGCGGTTCGGCTGCGAGTTGTGGGCGCCATTTACAGCTTGCGATCTGCAAACACACGAGGACACGGACGAGATGGGATAAGGGACGGTACGCGCATGGTCGCACGCCTATGCTCATCCACATTTGACGGTGTTACTATCTTCGCAGCTTTCGCGAAGCGCCATCGCATCAGGGGCACATCTCCGCCCATACTCTTTTACCACTTATCAGAGACTACGACGCGTCCCTTCGTGCAAGGGCTGCGTCGTTTGCAATTGTGGCGCACGAGCCCGCTAAACGAGTCGTTTACGGGCATGGCAGGGCAGCTTGATGGCGTTTGTGACCACGGGATCAGTCGCGATCGACAAGAATGCAAGCGAAAAACGTCTCGCACCTATCGAGACGGGAAGCGCGTAACGGGCGGGGAGGGTCGCGGAACACTCTTAGCAACGGTCATCAACAGGGTCGGGAGCAGGACGTACATACAACGAGTGGAGTGGAATGTGTGCTTCTCTCGCAGCTTTGGAGCGCACGCCGCGTAGGTGCCTGAATAACGAATTCGTTTAGGTTCTGCGCTTTCAGGAAAGGAGGGAACTAATACAGGAAAATGAATGCTGAACGCCAGTGACTCTGCTTGTGTTGGGCATGGCTCTTCGCAATTCTCCTTGGTGTTTTGGCGGAAACGACTTCGGGCGATGGGAAAATGTACAGCGCGCCCACACATTTGTTGATCTGACAATTCGCTGTGGTCAACGCGCGAAATGGTTGGCTTGCTGGAAGTCCCTATTGGTCAATCGCAGGGCGCATTCGTATATCTTGTCAGACGTCATGTCATCGCCCCTTAGTCATGACAATTCAAAGCCTCGTTTTTATGCAGGCCAAACCGTTTGGGCCTTCCGAACCTCCAAACTGTGTTGACCTGACGTCTGACACGAGAACGAATGGCCCCTCACACTGTCGAAGGTCTTCGCACCGCATCCCCCCTGCGCGATCCGGCGATTGAAGGTTTAGGTTATGTCCTTCATGGGGTGTTCGACGTTTCTTTTTTCTCGAACTGTATAATGTCTACAAAGCAATAACATCTGGACCGAACAAGTTTATATTGATGTTGGAGCAACGATTTTGTTCCTTTCGGCGTTCACCGACACATGCAGTGACTGGCCTCCGTACACTATGGTTTCATGACGTGGAACTGGCGCACGGTCCCGCAAACCAAAACAATACAAAAAATAAACTCTTCATGAGGAAACGCCATGTAAACGATCTGTGTGCGATCGGGCAGTGGGTTTGACAGCAACCTGCTCCGCGATACCGTCCAATTCCAACGGGCGGTCGATCACCCTAATATTCTATTTTTCGTGACCAGATGTGTAGAGGGCAGTTACGAAGTCTACCTTGTGTCAGTAAAGCTCCAGTGGCAAAACTAAAACCCACTCGGATGACAAGCCATTTGGGAAGCATCAACCGTAAACACCATGCCTCATGGTGCTTAGGGTTGATGCCCTTTATGTGGCATGCCTTCCAAACAAGTATTTTTTTTCTTTTTGTCCCGAACAGCACTTCTGTGTTGGACCTCGACGAAACAATTTTACATCCCTTAAAAAAAAATGTAAGATTATGTTTTTTGGACTTAAGAAGGGAAACTTCGAAGTCATATGCCCCAAGGTAATCAACGCGATCGCGAAGCAACCACCGCCGCCAAAACCACTGCCGAAAGGAATTGGAAACATACAAACAGGGGGATTAGGGTACATTCCTACCTCGTGTCTGACATCAGGTCATCCGTCCTTAGAAGCTCGGAAGACCCGAAGTGGTTCAAAATAGGGGCAAATCAACATTGAGAAGAGACAAATCAGAGACTAAGGGCGGATGACCTGATGTCAGACCCGCCATAGGAATCACCCTTAGTCATTTCCTCGCGCTAAGCGCGTGGAACGTCTAGGGGGTTTGTTCCGCACTCCCAGAACGAGGCGCCACAATTGTAGACCTGCTGACGTGCCCGCGCGACAAGCACTCGAAATACTGGAGTGCACAGCAGCTACCACCATTATCGTAGTGCACTAACTCGCACGACACTGCAGCAGCTACCACCATAATCGTGGTAGCTTCGTCCCCGCCCACTACTTATCGCACGCAGAAGGCGAAAAGCCCGCGCTTGTTCATAATAAATGTAGGGCCTCAAATGCAGGGCATAGATTAGGGTACAAGCACGAATCTAGTCGATATGATCCAGCGCAAAGAAATAGTCGGACCCGCGCGACAGGTTATGCAGCATCACGCCATGCTGTCCCCGCCAGTATTACGCCATACCAGCAACTCGTCACCGTGCCCCGCTGTGATCACAAAGTCGTAGGGATCTTGCTACCGCCACACTCTCTTGCGACGCCTTCGCCGTGCGACGCCTTCGCAGCAATAAGGACAAAGGTCCCAGCCTCCACCCCTGTGCGACTGCTGCTGCGCCAGCACCAGCACGTGAGTGAGCCGTCCGGATTACCCAATCCCTTGTGTCGGCGGCACCAGCATGCTGGGAGAATTGATTGCGTGAGAGGTGCCTAGAGAGACAAGCAGTGCTGCCGTGCCGCTATCACCACCTGTGAGGGAGCGTACCAAACCAAAGGTAGCCACAACATGCTTTTGCTGCTGCCCCCCCTGTAACCTCGTCTCTCCCCTCTTCCCTGCTTGCCTGCTTACAGATTCTCCTGGGACCCTCGGACGTGGCAGGCTGGGGTGCCTTTCTCAAAATAACGAGTTTCAATTCGCCTTAAACCTCCCTTGAATCCTTGTGTTCTCCCACATACCTGCCCCTGTAACCCCCCCCCCTCCCCCCCTCCTACCCCACTGCAGATTCTCCTGGGTCCCTCAGACGTGGCAGGCTGGGGAGCCTTTATCAAGGTGACAAGTTTCGAGGCGCCTTAAACCTCCCGTGTAACCTCCTCCCCTCCCACCTACCTGCCCCTGTAACCTCCTCTCTTCCTTCCTACTTCACTGCAGATTCTCCTGGGCCCCTCGGACGTGGCAGGCTGGGGAGCCTTTATCAAGGTGAGTGGTCTTGAGTTTCTGCATGGTCGTGTACAGTATGGCATGGTGCAGTATGGTATGGTACAGTATGGCATGGTGCAGTATGGCATGGTACAGTATGGCATGGTGCAGTATGGTATGGTAAGGCAGAGAATGGTGGGGTATGATGTGCCCCTGGCACACTCATATCCTCACATTCTGCCCTGCCGTGTTGTGCTGTGCGATGATGCGTGGTAACGCATGGTGATGTGCGGTGCGGTGCTGTGCGGTGCAGAATGAGGTTGCGAAGAACGACTATGTTGGGGAGTACACAGGCGAGCTGATATTGGAGGTGGAGGCGGAGAGGAGGGGAAAGATCTACGACCGCATGAACATCTCCTTCCTGTTTGATCTCAACAAAAAGGTCAGTTGATGTGCTGTGAAAATCCATTGACAAACCACAACGGTGTTTCTTTAAGCAAGGAAGCCTATATCAGATGCGGAGGCGGAGAGGAGGGGCAAGATTTACGATCGCATCAGTTGCTCCTTCCTGTTTGATCTTCACAAGGAGGTCAGTTTGTGAACAATTTCACGGTTGTTGATTCGTTATAATTGCTTCGTTTGTGGGCTGCTTTATGAGAACCATTCGGGCAGTGGCACCAGCGGAATGGTCACAGTTTTGGCCCGTATTCAGTCCATTTTATTTCCCCTCTTCCTCTCTATCCCCCCACCTCCTTCTAGTATGTGCTGGATGCATTTCGCCGAGGCAACAAGCTTAAATTTGCCAACCATTCTCTCACGCCTAATTGCCATGCAAGGGTGAGTTTGTTATGATGAACATGGATTGCAATAAGATGAATGAACCCAAATAAAAATCTGTGTTAAATTTGCCTTGTCTTTTGATGATTTTCACATTTGCGTGCGCTTCCGTTATTTCAGGTTATCATGTCTGGTGGTGATCATCGAGTGGCTATTTTTGCTGGAGAGCGGATTGAATCCGGAAAAGAATTGTTTTACGACTATGGGTATGCATCTAACTGCACGCCTTTATGGGCACTCAAGCTTGGAACAGCCTCACGTAGGACAGGCGGTCCAGGAGGAAGCTCGAAGACCACTAGAAAGGTTCAAAAGGCTTCTTAAATATGATAATGTTCTTGTTGTTTATCATAACTGATGCAATGTATGAACTGTACGAATTCCTCTTGTGCCACCTGTAACAAGCCGACCAATGTTTGTAGAAGGCTTCGCTCAGGGGACTTCGGTTACATTCAGGTGTTCTATTGTGACGATAGCATACACTGTTGAGCAGTCCGAACAGTCTCTGATGTCACACCAACCTGAAGGGTTGATGATTAGGGTAAATTGCTCTAGCCAGCCACGATGGAGAGTACTTCACCCCAAATAGTAAGGTTCACAAGAGAGCGAAAATGTTCCGAGATTAGCCGTGGTATGCCGAGCTGCAATCCCCCCAAGTGATTGAATTGAGAAAATCGGGTCGGAATGACAACACCTTCCTGCTATAAAGTTTTTGTAAGCAGATATTTGTAACCGTATCCCACAGGATACATTTTTGTGTGGAGGAGCAGGTTTTGTAGCGTTCGACCAAACCCGCAGCATCAACAGCCCAGGTGGGAATCGTCAAGGGCGAATCACTCACCTCAACCACAATAACGCGTCTCCGTACCGTACTGTACCTGATATCTCACTACAGTACACCTTCCACGTATCATTTCGCTGCGGGCAATTTTGCCATGACGAGCCCAGGGATAGTGCTCAGCTCACAACCATGGTTGTGAGGAGGATCTTGGAATCTTTGGTTTGGGAGGGTGGGATGGGACACTCTAGACGGGCAGGCAGGACGGGCAGGGGTTACAAGGCGACCAACAAAAACTGTACACCAAGGAAGGTGAGACAGGAAGGCAGGGCAAGAAAGGAGACTCCAATGAGTTCCCTGCTGTGCCCAGAAGAGAGGGGAGGTACAGCAAGCAGCAGCTCGTATCAGGAGGATTCGAGAAAACAGGCTCCGAGTTGCTCGCCCCGCCTCGCCACATTCTCGTTATCGTGTGGTGATAGGGCCACATTCGCCTAGCAGGCGGAAATTCAGGGTCCCATGCTGTCGCAGCGATAGACGCGCGCATGGGGGCTTCTCATCCCCGCGGACGCTCCGCCAGGAGCTCCGCTGCTAATAGGAGATCCGCGATGGTTTCCGCCATTGGCGCGCGTAAGCGCCTCCCGCCAAGTTCTCCTTCCGCCCATCCCCCGCGAATCCTTTTCTCCGCTTCCGCCCACGATTCCGCCCGCGCTTCCGCCCGCGCTTCCGCCGCCACGCCCTTCACCTCGATAATGTCCGCGATACTGTTGTCCTCGTTACTGTTCGCCACGTTACTAGTCACTCCAGCGATAGCCCAGGGGGCAGATGCGGCCTCCACCGGCTGTACCGTCTCCACGTCGGCGGTATCCTGCCCGGCGGGATTCACGGGCGGCGCATTCGCGCTGAACGCGCAAGCGTACATCGCGGGCGCAGGCCGAGAAAACGCGCTCGTCATGGGCGCGGCCGGAACCGCGGACAAGGGATCCGCGGGTTCCGCATTCACTACCGCCGCGCTCTCGCCTCCGCTCGGCGGAGGAGGCTCCTTTTCGGCGCGCTTCACGTTCCAGCTGGAGGGGCAGAACGAGGCTGACGTGGCAACGGGGCTTGCTTTCGTCATCATTGGCGGAACCAACACCGCCGTCGGATCGCCCAGGTGAGATACAACCTCCCCCAGTAGCCGTCGGATCGCCCAGATGAGATTCAACCTTTCCCCCATTGTCGCACTTATTCCCTCTCCTCCGCATTCCGCCATTGCCTCCCCTTTCCCCGCTTCCCCGCCTTCCCCACATTGTCCCAATTTCCCCCGCTTTCCCGCCTCCCCTCTCAAGCCCAGCCTGTGGGGTCAAATCAAGCACGCCGTGTCCCCAGATCTGACCTTTCCCCCTCCCCCCATCCCCAACCCCCCCCAAAAGAGCTCCGCGTGTGGCCGTCCGTGCGCTCATCCATGCCCTCCCCCGTGCCCTCCCCCATGTGCCCCCCCATGTCCTCCCCCGTGTGTCCCCCCGTGCGCTCCCCCGTGCGCTCCCCCGTGCGCTCCCCCGTGCGCTCCCCGTGTGCTCCCCCGTGCGCTCCCCCGTGCGCTCCCCCGTGCGCTCTCCCGTGCGTTCCCCCGTGCGCTCCCCCACGCGCCACCCCCCCACCCCCGTCCTTCTCCCCTCACACAGCTCTGCAGGCTACGGCGGCGCGGCCTTCGATGCCAGCCTGGCAGTGGTGCTGAGCGGCCGCCCGCCCATCTCTGCCGGCCTGCTGCTGGGCGGCAAGGCGGACGGCACTGCCGGATGGACGGCACTCAACCCCTCGTCGCCTGACGCACCGCATGTAAGTCGAGCGTGTAAAGATTGAGGGAGGGAGGGAGGGAGGGAGGGAGGGAGGGAGGGAGGGAGGGAGGGAGGGAGGGAGGGAGGGAGGGAGGGAGGGAGGGAGGGAGGGAGGGAGGGAGGGAGGGAGGGAGGGAGGGAGGGAGGGAGGGAGGGAGGGAGGGAGAGGAGGGAGGGAGGGAGGGCCGTACCCATATGCGGTGACTTGAGGGAACTGTGTGTTTAAGAGGTAGATCTGAGTCACTTCTACGACCCCGTTGCTGGACTACGATGCCTCACTTCCCCATAAACACCCCCACTCCCTCCCCTGACCCCTTCCTCCCTTTGTTTCCTCCCCCCCCCCTCCTCCCACTCCCCCAGCTGCTGGTCCCGGGGGTGCAGCAGCACGCCTGGGTGGGCTACGACGCCTCACTCGCCTCTCTCCACCCTTGTTCCCACCATACCCTTTCTTTACTCCATACTGTTACTCACTTTCTTCTGTTCCCCTTCTCCCAACCCCGTCTCAGCTCCTGGTCCCGGGGGTGCAGCAGCACGCCTGGGTGGACTACGACGCCTCCCTTTCCACCCTCCGCCTCTTCCTCAGTGGCTCCTCCCCCACCAAACCTGCAGCCCCGGTGCTCTCCGAGCCTGTCGACCTGCCTCGGGCGCTCGGCTTGGCCCCAGACGGCAGCTGCCCAGACGGCATTGGCGCGGATGCGGTGGGCGGCGGTTGTCTGTTTGTGGGGTTCACGGGAGGGTCGGCAGCAGTGGATAGAACCGAGCTGGCAGCAGCAGGGGTGGTCCCCGGAGGGGAGCTCCTTCAGACCGTTGACTCGCTTGACTTCAGATTCCTCCCCGCTGGCGCTACAGTCAGCGCTACAGCCGGGGCTGCAGACGCTACAGCCGGCGGCGCTACAGCCAGCGCTACAGCTGATGCCACCACTGCGGCCACTGCTGATGCTACCAGCACTGCATCACGTCTCCCCCATTCCGCCGACATCAGCAGTGCAACAGTAGCTTCCTTCGGGGCCACTGACCCCTCTGCTGCTGGTGGCGGCCTCTTCTCAGTCGCCTCTGTCGATACCGGCTCTGGCATCGGTGGTCTCACCGCCTCGGCCGCTCCTGCCCCTGCTCCGTCCGCATCCTCTTCCCCTGCCGCCTGCAACGTCACTGCCACCAGCATCTCGTGTGCTGGTTTCTCCTCCTCTGCTTCCTCATCGCCCTTCTTTGTGCTTTCCGGGGCTGCTCAGGTCGGGCCCGGACCGAACTTCCCCATCTGGCTCGACACTACCACCAATGCTGCCGGCTGCGCCTTCTCCATCCCGAGCCTCAGCCTCAGCCTCGGCAGCGGACCGGTGGCGTTTGAGGCGGCGTTTTCGGTGTCGTTTGCGGCGAGTGCGGATTACAACAGCTGGGGCAGTCGAGGGCTCGCGTTTGTGCTCACTGCCGGGGACAAGACCGCCTGTGGCCGCAGCTCCGCCAGGTGAGAAGCGGTGGGGATGGGTTCGGGCTGGGTTGAGTGTGGTAGTGCATGATGTGTAGAGAGGAGGGGTGGGAAGGGGTTGTGTGTGGTGGTCCGACCTGATGTGATGAACAACAGCTGGGGCAGTCGAGGCCTGGCGTTTGTGCTCACTGCCGGGGAGAACACCGCCTGTGGCCGCAGCTCCGCCAGGGGAGATGTGGTGGGGAGCGGTTGGGTTGGGTGTGGTAGTACTGATCCAATGGGCAACTCATCTCTCAACACGACTCTCACTTTGCCCTTATTCTCTTCTTCCGCCTCCCTGTTCTTCCCTTCTTGCCCTTCCTCCCCCTCCCACCAGCAACATCGGCTACGGATCAGCCCCCAACGCGTCCTTTGCTAGGAGCCTAGCGGTGGAGCTGAGGGCGCGGCCGACGGCGTGTGTGGCGGTGGTGGTGGGCGGGCAGGTGGCCGGCGACAACTGTGCCGACTCCGATGCCATGGCGCTGCTGCCGCCAGGGCAGGTAACACCTCCTCGGGTAGTGGCTGTTCAAATATTGCCTGCTCAGGTAATAGCTGCTCAGGTGAGACCTGCTCAGGTGAGACCTGCTCAGGTGAGACCTGCTCAGGTGGGACATGCCCAGGTGAGACCTGCTCAGGTGAGACATCCGCAGGTGAGACCTGCTCAGATGAGACCTGCTCAGGTGAGACATGCTGCGGTGACTCCTCCCGGGGTACAACCTGCTCGAGTAAGGCTAACACCTTCTTGGAAGTGCCTTTTTCTTCGTTTCGCCCTCATTGGTTTCTATGACACTTGGTATCCTCACTTGACCAGGTCAAAGGTCTCAAGTTCGACTCCCACCGTGCACCATTTTCAGTGCCTGTCGAAGTCTGGCCCAGTGAAGGGGATGTTACTTGGATGGCATCATGAGGCTTGCAGGCATGCTCTCTCCCTTACCGTAATACGTCCTTACATTCCGGTAGTTGACTGTTGAGCTGTCCCAACACTAAGCCCCGCTTTCCCTGAACCCCTACTCCCTTGCTCCACCCGCTCCCCTGCTCTCTCCACTTCACCGCTCCGGCGCTTCCCCAGGCGTTCACGCTGAACAAGCTGCAGCACGTGTTGGTGAGTTGTTCCAACACCAACCCTCCCT